ATGTAAGCCAGAGCTTCCAGCCCACAATTAATTTAGTTAAACAGTGAATGTGTCATAACAGGGATTGACAAATTGACCACTGAATGTATCTATATATGGCTCATATTAAAAGCATTTATAGGATGCCGCATAGGTGACATTCTAAGCTCTGTGAAATGCTAATTTTCATCCTTCCCTCTGGCCTCCCTTCTCCCAAATCAAGGGCAGTTTTTAAGTCCTTCATCCTTTTTATTTGACTTGTTTTAGAAGTCTCTGGGATTCATGATGGATGATCACCACCCTGCGTCTTAATCCGAAGTCCAAACACATACTCAACAGGAAGTACCTCCTTGCAATTTCTCAAAGACCAAGTAAAACCTTGTGTCATCTTCAAAGAATTCAATCAGCTCCAAAATGTTCCTTAAATGGGGAAAAATAGGAGGAGAAGGAAGGGGGGGGATAGTATTATATATTAAAGTCTACTTATAAATATACAAATAAAAAATATACAACACCCTGTAGCAGGGCAGAAACCAACTTGAAATCAAAATGCTTATTAAAGACCCATGTTTGAGAAGCAGCCAATGGTGTTAGCAAGATTCAGGTCACCTTATCTTTCCATAATGTTTAGTCTCTGGTGTTTTCACCAAGTCTGCGCTGTCAAACCCCAACCCTAAAACCCACTAGGTAGAGTTATAAAAAAGTCCCGGTCACATTAAACTGAATAAAATCTGCAGCCGACTGGAAGCAATTGCGGCTAATAACACTGAATAGTAGGTGTGTGTCCTGGAGGCAAGCAGCAAATAATTACTTGCCCTCCCTCTTGCCCATAAATCATGGGGCAGTATTTACATTGCCTGGAGAAAATGGAAACATCTGTCAAATAGACTTGGGGCCTAACGTGGGCACCGCTAGACCCTAACTGCTAAGCGCTGCTTAATGAAACGGCCGCGTTCCTGGCCACTGTAGCACTTGTGGCCTTCCCCGGTGAGCACTCTCTGTCTGCCCGAGTATTGCTGTGCTCAGCCAACAAGGTCGTCTTGTAACTCAGTAGGGAAGCCACCAGCCTGGATATTGGAGGTGTTGGGATTTTTTTTTCTTTGAAAGAATGAAATAAACCAAGTAGAGTCTCTAATGCTGAACTAAGAAGCTGCAGGGCTGAAAATAAAAATCTGTCCCTCATAAAAAAATGCTGGCCACTTTGGGAGACACCACGCTTTTACTAGTGTGAAGGCGTCCAAATAAGATGGCCAAAATGGCCTAATTTGAAAGAAGATTGTAGAGGCAGCGCCTGGAGTTAAATCAACAGCAGCCCCCTTCCTCCAAGCTTAATGACAAAGCCATCAATACCAGGCTGCTGGCTCCCTGCTGACCCTGCCATGAAGGGAGAGAGATGGGGAGGCAAGTCTTGGGGGTGACCCTGATTTAAAGCCACTGTGGGAGTGCCAGTCATTCTGAGCTGCCTTAGTGGGGGCGGAGGTACTGTGGCCTGCCCAGTCAGCAAGCAGGGAGCATCGGACCTCCTTCAGGACCCGGGTGGCATCCGTGCATATGCAAGTATGCCAGGAACAGCAAACAGCAGTGAATATTCCTAACATTTCTTGTCCTCATCTCGGTACTAAAGCAGCTCTAACCACCGCTCCCCGGCAACACTCCGCTGGCCAGGCTTCCACAGGCACTTGAAAGAAATGAAACCTCAGTTTTCCCCAGCCACTGATTCCTATTACTCCTTTAACTTGCAGGACTGCTGATATTTACAGTGTTTCAGCTAAAGAGAAGATGGCTTCTTGGAGTTATTGCTGCTTTTACTCCTTCCCTCTTTCCCTCTCGTGCTGACAGATGGAAGGAGCTCCTCGCAGCTGGGAGGAAGGAGTGAGCGCCAAGCGCTAAGGTCAGGGGGTTTAGGTAAGAAGCCCTTCTGCAGTCACACATTCCCCAGAGAAGCACTGAGTCACCCACAGACACTCACTTGTTTCCTTGACACTGATAAAGCGTCTCCACCTCTCGGAATACCCGACTCCGACTGTGCCCTGCTTGTTTTTCTATGATCTGTGTGAAGAATAAAGTGTCATGCACATCATCTTATGCAAAACAGTCCCTTGGCAGGAGCCCTCTGGGAGAAGATAAGGCTAACACAGTCCAAATCTAGTTTCCCACCAGAGTTTGGAGTGGGCCATGGTGACACAGCCACTGTGGCTCTTTCAGTGAAGCAGCAGCCTGGTCCAAGGGCTTCCGGTCCAGCCGAACCTCTGGCCACACATGGCACCAAGGCGGTCTAGGTGGCTGCTACCGCAGCCAGCTGCCCTGGGGCAACCGAGGCAGCCAGACACAAAGAACTAGCTTTGCTTAGCTCCTTCTGAAGGGCAGCTCTTCCTGCCTTAGAGGTAAGAGGTGAAGGTTCCACAGAAGGGTCTTTGCAGCTGGAGGAAGGATAAAGGTGAGGAGGACACAGGAGAAACTGAAGCCTCCAAGCAAAACTCTGAGGACATTCCCCAGATCCCCCAGGCAGAAAGAAGTAAGTGCTTTTTCTTTCTCCTCCTCCTCCTCCTTCCCTTTTCTCTTCCTTTTTCTCTTTCTCCTCCTCCTCCTCTTGCTAAGTGGGGTCTTGCTAAGCAGCTTAGACTCATAGTATCCTCCTGTCTCAGCTTCCCCAGCACTGGGATTATAGGCGTGTACCACCACACTAGGTTTCAGTGGCCAGAATAGCATGCCCAGGGTTCTGGGGTTGGCACAGCATGCGGTACCGAGGATCAAACCCAGGTCCTTGTGCTTGCCAGGCAGGGGCTTAGACTGCTGAACTATCTCCCCAGCTCCAGTGCCTGCTCTTCTAAGAACTCACTCTTTGGCAGGCCTGTGTGAAATAATTTATATTTAACCCTTACAACAATGTCCAAAGATAGGAAAGTGTAAAACATTCTTCTTGCTGCCCAGGGCTGACCTCAAAGCCCTCACTAACCCATACCTGTGCATAGTCTAGACAACTTCTCCCAGCTTCTCTCCTGTGAAGCTGTGGGCTGCACCCTCCACACCCCTGCCTGCACTATTTGGCAAATGCATGAGTTCACAGTGGAGCGGGTGGCTTTTATGAGGCCTGGCTGAAGCTCTGTGGACCCAGCCCCAGCCCCAGCCCATTCCTAGCAGAGCTATAGACAAGTTTTCTGAGACCTGACCTGAACGTGGCCCTGGCCCTGCCTCATATATGACGTCCTACTCCTCCTTTCTGATAATGCTGGGCTCAACACCGCAGAAGTCTCTAGTATGCTGCAGCACATACTGAACTGCAACTTGTTAAATAAGCCCATATCCATTAGTAAAGCACCCTGGGTCCATTTTCTGACAACAGGCAATGAGGTTCAGTGCTGGAGAACTAGGACTATTCAACCTCATACATACGTAGTTAGTGTCAAAGCAAGGGAGAATTCTTCAGCAGGCAGGCTTTCCAGCAGCAGCACTGTTTTGCTCAGAGGAGGTAACAGGCTCTGGCCAGTAGAGGTGGGGAACAGAGCACGGACAACTATTTGGGGAGTCTTAGAGACAATTTGGATCAGATTATCTGGATGTTCCGTCCTGACCCTGAGGTCCACCAGCTGGACACCGTGGGGAAAGCGGCAATAAATCAAGTCTGTGGAGCATGCTGGAGAAGCAGCCCATCATTAGAGAGCTTTCGGGGAGGAGAAGTGACATGAGACACAGGCAGTGCTAAAGCCAAGTCTCTGCCAAACGCAGCGGACACAGAACAAGGGCCAGGCTGTCCTCCTGGGACCCAGCCTGGGAGAAACAGATCTGTCCTTTATCAAAGTATCAAATCTTTGACAATCTAATTACATTTGTAGTTTTCACCACATTAGGCATACTTTTAAAGAAATTAGTTATCCTCTATTTCAATCTTTCTAAAAGGAGTGCACAGCTCTCTTGGTACCACATTATCCTCCCTGGGCTGCAGAAAGGTGGGGAAAAAGAGATGTCTCTTTCAGAGCCAGTCTGGCTGGGCTCCCTGGGAAGAGGACTAGGAGGCAGGCTGTGATGTGCCGGGCATTGTCCTAAGCACTGTACACACAGTAGCTTCTTTACTTCTCACAATTATCTATGGACTCTATTACTATAACCCTTTCACAGACAAGGAATCTGAAGGACAGAGTAGCCGAGGAACTTGCCCAATGAAAAGACCAGGCTTGGGATCCAGTGAACACAGCTTTAGAGGCCAGGCTCTCCCTGGGCCATCATACTACACAATGTAAAATAGATATGGTTTAGGACAAGCTGGAAATTTGCAAAGCAAAGTGTGACATCTAGAAGAGACACTCACTTTGACAGCATACTCTTTGCCCGTCTGCAGGCTCACAGCGCCTTGAACTTTGGCATAGGCTCCCTCTCCCAGCAACTCAGAGGTCAGCTTGTACATATCTAGGGGTGGAATGGATGAGAAGAATAAGATGAGTCAGCCTGCTGCAAGTTTGGGTGGGAAGGGGCGCTCCTGTCACTCAGCCTCCCTAGGCTGACTCCCCAGACAGAACAGGCACGTGACAACTCTGGGGCACTCAGTGACCAGGAAGACACATAGTTTCCCTGGCCATGGAAGGTCTCAGTTTCTCAACAAGAAAGCCAGATAGAAGGTATCCTGTTCCCCTTTCAGAGATGAGGACAGAGGAAGGGTTTCAATTCAGTGCCTCTTTCTTCTTTCTTTCTTTTTTTTTTTTTTTTTTTTGCAAAACTGGGGATTGAAGTCAGCCTCTTGCACTTGCCAGAAGCACTTATTCTACTAAGCCATCTCCCTGGCCCCCAAGTACCTCTTTCTTGAGTACCTACTATGTGCCTGACCACATAACAGGGACATTGTAGGAAATAAAATAATCTCTTCCCTGTAATCTTCTCAATCTAGTGGGAAGACAGACAGATAACCCACTGGCCCCAGAATAGACCAGGAGCTGCTAAGTGCCATCAGTGATCACAGAAGGATTAGACAATTTTTAAAAAAGGTACAGGGAAGGAAAGGGGAAATCTGGAGAATCAAGGGATCCTCAGAGAAGGGGTCAAAGTTGAAAGGACATCATTCATTAATATACTCATTTCCTGAGCAGCTACAATGCACCAAGCTCTATGTGGAGCACAGGTGATGGAAAGGAGAATAGTGCACTGTTCCATTTTTTTAAAAATTAATTTTATTGAGAAACAAATAGTAATGAGACAGTTTCAAAGCTGATTAATAGGACAGTTTTGATACAATGTACATTGTTATCTTCTTAGTGGTTAACCATAGTACAAGAACTGTTCCATTTGATACTACATAGGATTGAGTGTCTGCCCATTAGCTCAGTTGTTTAAGTGATTGCTTAAACAAAGCAATCAGGATGCCGTGGTTCCATCCCCAGATCCTCAAGCCTTACTAGACCTGCCCTGAAGGCATCCTGAGCCAGCCAAAAAAAAAAACAAACCAAAAACACTTCTGATACCATATGCGATGGAGGTCATTGGAGGTTTCTAAGAAGTTTCCAGAAGCTACCCACAGGAAATCACACACAGAAATAGGATGCAATGATGCTCTGAGGTTTTATGTAATGAGTCAGAGTGGCTCTAACACAGCAAGAGGCTTGGAGTGAAAGAAGGTTCGGATGACCTCTGCAGGCTCAGAGATCACAGGCTGACTGTGTCTCTTGGGCTTCACGCCTCAGCGTTTACTCTTGAGGCAGCTTAGCCTTAAGCCCCTAGACTGAGCAGCAGACTGAACTGTGACGGAGATCTTGTTGTTCTTGGTCATGTGAAACTGGTGATTGCGTAAGCTCTCCTTACGCAACAGGAAGTATTCTCCTGTGTTCACTGAGAGTGCAAAAAGACTTGCAGATCTGCAAACTATTATAAAACCCTAGGGAATTTTCTGTTTCATTCCCTATCCCATCCCACTCTCTACACACACAGTTCTCTACTTTTGAGTTAAAGACAGGCAAACAAACACTTGCACTAAATAGTTTCTCGGTTCTACCATGTTTGGTCTTGAAGCTATGTGAGCAGAGGGCACAGTGCGGTTTGTATTTTTCTTATTTTTATTTTTTTTGGGAGAACCGGGGATTGAACTCAGACCCTTGCACTTGCCAGGGAAGCACTTATTCTATTGAGCCATCTCCCCGGCCTCCACGGTTTGTATTTTAAATGACATTTCTCTCAAGGTGCATACTTCCAAGGTGCATACTTCTACACCTGTCAGGATATGTGACAGCTGGAATCCAGTATTCCTGACTCATAAAGAGCTTGTGGTCAGAACCACTAATGTGTCTGCAAGGTCGGGCAGAGGGCTCCTGAAGGGAAGCTACTTCAGGTCTCACAAGGAAAGAACAGAACAGAAGAAGGGGACAAGCTACTCCCACAAGTAGCTGCTAATCCTTTGGCCCTCAGCAGAGGTGCCCAGTGACTCACTTCACCCCCTCATGTGCTCAGTGATAACCTGAGACCTGAGCTCTGTGCTACACGCGCTATTCCAAAGGGAGCCAGATACATGTAGCACAAGGAACTCTGATCTCTAGGAGTCAAATCCTCCCCTCAGCTAAGACTGCAGTGCCCTTTGCAGCCTCGGCCCTTGGCGTTTCTTGCTTTCTCTTATGCACTATTCTCCTCTCAGGGGCCCTTCCAGGAACCGCTGGGGTAAAGATCACACCTGATAAGGTGCCAGGACACATGTGGCAATACAGGTGCAGCTCACCCCCCTCGGCCTGTCACTCCTGTGTAGACTTGTCCACCCCTGAGATGCAGTATCCTGTCATCTGTACCGACAGGCACCACTGCCTGGAGAGCCACGGGCTCACATCTATGAAGACTGCGGGGGCAACAAACCTTCAAACCTTCCTGGCAAGGAGTCAGTGGCCCGGGCCTTCCGCTTCTTCTTCCTCCTCTTGTCACTGTCTGCGATGGCAAGGGGCTCGCTGCTGCCCATCTCTGGGAGACAAGAGGAGACATGAGAGAAACAGCAGTGTACTGATTAAGCTGTAAGTTCACCCAGAAGGAGAAAAATAAGAGGTGGGGGCGGCAGGAGCTTTACACACTGACGGTTTTTAAATATCTGTGAGAACTATTGATTTGTTTTGACCCAGGAGGCAAAACTAAAGGCAAAACCATTATAGGAGATCATTAACTGTGGAAAGGAACTCAGACAAGCAGGCTAGCTTAGACGAGGATAGCAGAAGCCTGCTTTAATCAAGCTCATTAGAACATGGATTTAGATCTGCCACCACTCAAACCATATTCCCAGAACAGCACAAGGAAGCCACGAACAGTGCCCCACTTGCAGCAGCCCCAAACCTTAGTGCCAGAAAGAGAGGGCCCAGGGAGTAGGCCAGAGAGAGGGTGACAGTGGGGCTCATGGAGAGGAAATCAGAGGCTCTGTAACATCCCTAATGATGTGGGCCTCTCACCACGCACACTCCTGTAATCCTAGCACTCTGGAGGCAGAGGCAGGACTGCTTCTAGTTCAAGGACAGCTTGGGCTACACAGTGAGAGGTCCTGTATCGAAAGAGAGAGAGAAAGAAAGAGAGAGAGAGAGAGAGAGAGAGAGAGAGAGAGAGAGAGAGAGAGAAGTGGGTTCCCCCATGGTGCTGCCCTAGGGAAGGAAATGAGGGGGCTGAGAGTGGCTCTATGCTTCTTCATGCCTGGAGCACAGACTATGTGCCTGGAGCCCGCAGTATTGCCTCCCTTTCTTGGAGGGGGTGTGGTGAATACCCATTTGGAAGCCTGCAGCAGTGACAGGCCTGTGCCAGGCGGCTGGATGAGGTCAGCTAGTGCAAAGATGCTATTATCTCTCCTTGGCAGACACCTGGCTCCCCTGTTAAAGGGAAGCAGACAGACACTGGATCGAATGGGTAGGAAGAGGTCAGGACAAGAAAGGAGATGAAGGAGACCAAAACAGGGAAAGAGAAAGAAGAGCCACGAGTCAGTGCCCAATCACAGTTCTGTTTCTAGGCCACGCTAGTAGGGGCCTTCCCCTGTTAAAGATAAATTACTTATAGAACATGTCATGCCCCTGATCCAGAGTGGAGCCTTAATACTCTTTGCCTGCAGTTAGAAATAATAAGATTTCTCCGAAGTCTCTGGGTCTAAATCCCCACCAGGGTGATTAAACCTCTACATCCTTCTAAAAGAGAGGCACTCGAGTGCTGATGGGGCACACAGTGTGAGAGACTTTTAGAGCAGCCTTCAATAAACATAGGCTCTGGGTTGCTGGACATTTTTCCCCCCTTTTCTGAGAAATTTTAAAATAGAAGCTGGCTCTCTGCCCCCTGAGGGGAAAGACCCACTTCCTCCTCAAAGGATCCAGCTGAACATGAGCACAAAAATGGCAATTTGGCTCAGAAAGTTGATTAGTGCCAATGCCAGTCTACTTGCTGTCCTCAGGGTGAGCACACAGCAGCCACTAGGAGTGGAAGGAAACGCACAGAATGCACCTTCCGCACCACCGAGCAGATCGCACAGGTCTGCAGCCAAGGGTCTGACAGCTCCGTGTAGGTCAATTTCTTTCTTCTATTTCTGGCATCTGTGACAGTGGATATTCAATTATACTTTAGAAAACAGACAATCACACGGAATAGAAAGAATCCACAGAGAATCTCAATTTTTTTTTGTGTGTGTGCAGAATTGGGGATTGAACTCAGGCCCTTGTGCTTGTCAGGCAAGTGCTTATTCTACTGAGCTATCTCCCCGGCCCCAGAGGATCTCAAAATATTATTCATGCAACAACTTGAAGCACAAGTTATACATGGGGACAGCAGTATCCTAAGAATTCAAAGAATTAGACACTGGCACTGGAACCCTGCATTCACCAGGGTGAATCAGAAGGAAAAACACTATCCTGGTACATTTTTTGAAGATAGTGAGAAACAGTATAGAAATAACATGTAAGGTCACTTGTCTTCAGGAGCTTGACTGGGGGACACTGGCTATGGGGTGACAGGTTGGGAAGGAAGGAATCCTGTGCCTTTGGCCCTGACCCTAAACACACTCCAGTGCCCACCCTTGTCCCAGCTCTTTCCTTATTGGTGCTGCAAGCCAAGTCCAGGGCTTTGCTCCTTCTCCCTCCCCAGCCCACACTGTGATGGGGGCCTGCAGACAAGTGAAAGAAATGGCCAACAGGCAGGCAAGCTGGCAGCACTGTGACTCGCAGGGGCTGCTCAGTCACACTTATGGCTCTAGCTAGAAAACCCTGTTAGTAGCAATTTATACTTGCTCTTTGCCACAGCAGGGCTGTGGAGCCTCTTGCAGAAGCAGCATAGCTCTGGGCACCGCCAAACACTCTATATTAGATTTTATGGCTTCACACACTAAAGACAAAGTACCTGGGCTATTCTGCATGAATCTCAATGGAAGAGGAGACACCAGAAGGGACAATCGGTTAAGACTGCCCTTGTAAACAACTTGAAAGAGGGTTGTTTTTGAAACTAGAAAGGAAAAATGCAGAAAGACAGTGAGGAGAAAGAAACATGTTTCACTTCCCTGCTTTTCCAGTGGGAGGCGGGAGGCGGTGAAAGGTAGCATAATCTCACTAAGGAGCTGCCAGTCCCTCCTCTGGGGGCAGGCCACAGGGAGGCATCTTATGTGGTGACCTCAGGCAAGTGGGCCCTTAACTACCAGTATGCTTGCAAGCCCTGGATAAATGCTTCCTCAGGCAGAAGTTCTCACAGTCCAGCTACATCATGGCCCACCTGCTGCCCTTGGCATAGGAAGAGTTCTTGGCCACCAAAACCAGTTTAAGTCCTTGTCTCTCTGGAACAAGGGATATCCTACCCTTCTCCCCCAGCAACTGCAGATGACTTAGAGTTTCTATTCAGTCTTCTGCTCCCAAATGCTCTGTTATGCGGCTAGTTATATTTGGCTCTAAGAGCTTCATTGTATTCTTAAGGCCAAGACTGTTTCTTTGATAAGTGGTGGTGCAGCATCAGATATGGATGAGCCTTCAGAGACTGTGCACTGACAAGGAAACAACATGGAGTGATGCACACAGCAAGAATTAGGTGCACGTGGGTCCTGCAGGTACCCAGTTGCTCTGAAGGAACTGTGAGTACACCTGTGCCTCACAGAAAATGCACCTATGAGTTTGGTTCAGGAATTCGATCCCTCAGTTCCCTGCCGTACTCTCTCTTCAAAGGCCCTATGACCAAAGGTCCTTAACTTTCTACTCAGAAGCCTGGTTGTTGCCATGGGGTTGTGAACTGTGTCTGTTGTTTTCAAGAAGTAAGCAATTCTCAGTTTCCAGACAGATGCTGCTGGTCTGGAGGCTCCCAGCGCTGCCACTGTCCTGAGGCTTTGCCTTCCTCTCCAGCGGCCTGGAGGCCCACGTTGTGCTCCTGGTGGCAGGGTGAGCAAGCACATGGCTGACAGGGAAAGCACATGGGCTTAGATGAGGACACCAAGATGGAAGCCCTGGCATCCACCATACAGCACCGAGGCCAAGTTACTTACTTTTTGCTTCACAGAGTCTCAGCTTCTTCCGTCTAGAGAATAGGTTTAAAAATATGCCTGCCCTGTCCACCTCACAGGGTTGCTATAAGGTCCCAGTGATATACTTAATGTAAATGTGCTTCTAAAAACAGGTGTACGTGAAGGTGTATATACATATGTGTGAACACACCAGAAAGTGGGAAGTCTGAACAGAGATATACCCAACTGTCAATGCCACTACCTTTTAAAGAGTGCCAGTGATGTGTTGGGAGCTGGATATAAGATGCAGGTCTAATTCTTACAATAATCTCAAAAGGTCGTATCTTACCATAATGCAGGTAAAGAAACATACTCAGAGCATATACCTGGGTATACCTAGGTAACAACTTTCCTGAGACTCCAACCCGATGCTGCCCTGTCATGTCCGGGCCACCTCCAGCATACAGTAGTGGTCTCTGTGGGATTTGTAGGGTCTTTCTCATGTTTTTCAGTATTATAAATTGTATACAATAACATTTATTATTTTTATGTTATTGTTACTTAAATCAAATTTTATTTAATGAAATACACAATTTTTCTTTGTTATACACTAGAATTTAGATCTAGAATTTAGAACCTGATTATGGTTTGTAAAATTGTATTCTTCTCTTTACTGAAATTCAATATTCAATGATGGGAAAGTATGGTAGGAATGTGGTACTTTAAAGATATTAATTTTACAACTGTGAAAACCACAAATGCTATTTTTATGGGTTTTTTTTTAATGCTATGTTTTTGTTTTTTGTCTTTGAGAATGGGTTTTATCATGTAGTTCAGGTTGGCCTTGAACTCTATGCAGCCCAGGATGGTCTTCAACTTGCAGTCTTCCTGCTTCAGCCTCCTGCATGCTGAGCCTACAGTGGTGTGCCACCAGTTTGGCTAGAATGCTATTTTTAAAGGAAGGATATACTTTATAAAAACAATTATCCGGTAGGGTATAATGGTCATGCCTATAATCCCAGCTACTTGGGAGGCCAAGGAAGGAGAATCACAAGTTTAAAACAAACCTGGGCAACATATGAAGACCCTGTCTCAAAATAAAAAAAGAGTTGAAAAAAGTAGAGCACTTAAAATACCCTAAGTTTGGTCCCTAATACTGCAAAATAGCAAGGAAAAGGCCTGAACATTGGAGCCTGAGAGCCATGCTACCACCTCCAGCCAGACCCTGGCAAGATGCCTGGCTCCTTGCTGTGGCAGTATCTGGGTGAGAGGAGGCTGGGCTGCCTACATCACAAGACCGCTATAAGGATCAAATAGACTATATGTGGAAGCACCACCCACTTCTTCATTCAACCATATTAGGCAACTACTGATCTAACTAGAGAGGGAGAATATAAGAGATACGGTCTCTGACATTGTGGAATTAAAATCTCTTGACGTGTAAGACAATTTCAATATAGGACAAGTATTGCGATAGAGGAGTAACAGGTGCTGTGAAATGGGAGAAGACTCTAACTCAGATGGATAATTAGAGGACAAGAAAGCTAAGCAGCACCTGAGGATAAATGGGAGCTGCCCAGGGTGGGCCTGAGGGAGAATTCTCAGTCTGCAGAGTGAGTCCCACAGAAGAGGTGGCATAGCTGGCTAGGGCCACCACCCATCATGCAGCTGGCTGTGGCATGGAGCGAATGGGGAAGTGATGACAATCAGATCGTGAGCAATTTCAGCATCATCAATAACAACCAATGTTTCTTTCCTTAGGCTTCTGCTTGTCTTGTTTTCTCGGATAGCATACGGATGCATGTTTTTGTTTCTTTGTGAAACCTGTTAGCCAACAAGTCCCACTACTGGAAATGTAGCAGGTGTTAGAATACAGATCCAACACTCAAGCTGGCACCTGCACAGGGAGCAGCCCAGAGAACTCAGAGAGATGGGGGAGGGAACCACAACAGCAACAGGTGCCTCCACTGCTCTCCACCTTCTGGAGCTGTGTCATTTTTCTGTAAAGCCTGATGAGGTGCACTGTCCCCCCAAACCACCAGATGTGCACTTCATACTTGGACAGAATCAATGTGGTCACATCCAGAATGTGCTAAAAAGGGGGTCCTCTGGCTAACTCAGCCCTACAAATGGCTCCTGTTCCCTCCACCCACCCACTCTTGAGCTCTTTCAAGGTCCCAACCTATATGAACACTTTTTTCAGCCACAAGGCCCTCCAGAGAAGGGACTGTGGAGATTTAAGCCATGGACTCAGCTGCCTCCTCAGGCATCTGTCATTCAATGGAGAACTCTCCAAATGAATGGAGAGTTGAGACAGTTGAAGGATTGGGGGAGGCTTGGTGGAGGAGTGCTGGCATGTACAAGGCCCCAAAACATAAAGGAAAACTGAGGAACTGAGAGAAATAGGAGAGGTACTCTTAGGAAGAAGCCAAGACTAAGCCACATGAGAGAGGGGAGGCAACGTGCAGGGACCCTGCCCCAAGTGGTCATGACTTTGAAGAGGCAGCACAGGTAGGCAGCTCACTCCTGTTGGGAAGACACAGGCACACCTTTTATGGGGCTCATCGCAGTGAGGCCACACTCGAGGTGCTTGATAAATACTACACCCTACAGCCCTCATTTCATCTTTACAGCTCTCTGACATAAGCATAGTTACCGTCCCATTTCGCAGATGAAAAAACTCAGGTACAAAGATATAAAGTAATCTGTCCACAGTCATGTGGTTAGTAATGGACTGGGATTTCAATCTAGACATTCTGGCTCACAATTCAAGCTATCAACCATTACGCTGTACTTAAACATTAATGTTAAAAAAAAAAGACAGGAAGGTATAACTGAGGAAAGTTACCAGGAACCACTGAGAATGCTGCTGTTTACACACCTTGGAGCACAGCTTCCCTCCTCATGCGCTGCGGCCTCAACGCTGATGTCTCATTTGTCCTCCAGTGACCTCGGGCACTGTTTACACAGGTGTGCTGGCCAATACTGTTCCCTCCCATGTGCTGTGATGTTAGAAGGTTAGGCAGCACTGCTCTGCCTTCCATACATACAGGGCATCCTCACTATTAGACTACTCTAAAGCCTCATCTATCAGAAGTTTCCTTTTGCTTTGTATTCTGTGCTTTGTTGTATTATGGAAGATGAACTACAAACCAAAGTCTTGGTACCGGGTACAGCCTATGTTCTACCTGGCCAAGTAATGGGTTCATGTGACTTCTGATATCATCATTACTACACAGGGGATGAGGAAAAGGCAGTCAAGAGAAGATGGTAAAATTTAGTGCACCGCAGATGCAAGGAGCTCCACGGGGTGGACTTGGATGACAGCACGTGAGATCCCACAGGGCTGAAGTATTCTTTCCTTGAGGTCCTGCGGATGGGAAGGCTGGGCCACCTCACACAGACTGCAGCAGAGCTGGCAGGGAGTCCTGCTCGGGACCAGCTGGGTGACCCACAGCAGGCTTCAAACAGAGCTGAGACAGGGACAGTCCCACAGACCAAAGGTCTAGATTCAGGCCCATTTTCCCCTCTGCTGATTCTGGGGTTACAGGCAGCCTTCAGGGTTACAACATAGCCTCTCCTTGTGGTAAGAATGACAATAGGAAGGCCAGAGAGGGCAGAAAGGAATGTGGGCTTATGGAACACAAGCAGGCAGGGGTGAAGGACATGGATGGGGAACAAAGTACAGACTGAGAAAGGCAAGCTGCAGTGGGTCACCCGAGCTTACTAGCCTGATCTACAAAACCCACCAGGACCTGGCCTCACATTTCTTCATCCTCCACAACCAACTCACCCTTTTAAAACAGCAGCTCTTTTAGTTTCTTTCTTTCTTTTTTTTTTTTTTTTTTTTTTTGTGGAACCGGGGATTGAACTCAGACCCTTGCGCTTGCCAGGGAAGTGTTTATTCCACTGAGCCATCTCTCCGGCCCCTCATTTAGTTTCTAATTCTAACAGTCCCCGAAGGGTTTCTCCTCGGGGCCACCACCGTGCTCTGACATGTAGCAGAAGCACGCCACGTACTTCCTGGAGATGCAGCTCAGTGACAGCACTTTCTTAGCATGTGTGAAGCCCTGCATCCAATCCTTCAGCAGTGCACATGCACACACGCACACATGCACGCACATGTGTGCACACACATACACAGTGTACTTAAGGACTGAAATTCATTAATAAATTTTGCTCCTTCATCAAGAACATTCTTTTTTTTTTTTCTTCAGTAAAGCATTTATTGGGTAGATCAAGGTACACTTCAGACTATATCTTTTTTTTTTTTTTTTTGCAGAACTAGGGATTGAACTCAGCCCCTTGTGCTTGCCAGGCAAGCGCTTATTCTACTGAGCTATCTCCCTGGCCAAGGTACACTTCAAATATCAGTGGCTCTGCTACTTTTCCAGTCCCCTAGGATAAACATCTTTTTTTTTTTTTTTTTTTGGTACGAGGAATCAAACTCAGGACCATGTACTTGCCAGGCAGGCACTGTGCCAATCCCGGCCCTGGGCTAAATACATTGCATTCATCTTATTTTCACATTCTTTGCCCATGTCCAACTAATCATCAAGTTTTGATGGAAATTTTCCTTGCAGTTCCTAGATTTGACCTGTCCCTTAGAGATTACAGCCAGCTAGCTCTGTGTTCTGAGATCCCACGCCCAAGTCACCAGAGTAGTAGTTCCTCATCATCCCACCCTCTAATAGGACCCCGCCCAGCCTACCCTCTACCAGATACATCTTCCCCAAACATCTGTTTCTTCACTTCTCCTATTTTTGAACTCCAAATTTCTGGTTCAATAATGCAAAATTCCTAACAATTGATTTAGGGACTAATAAAGGTGGTAGGTTTATATGATCAGCCTAATATACAGGCTAAGCTAAAGGAACTAAACATTAAGTAAAGATGGGCTCATCTTTAGTTGCTGCTTCAGTTTTTCTAATTAATTTTATTGAGAAACAAATAGTAATGAGACAGTTTCAAAACCGATTAGTAGGACAGTTTCAATTAATACATTGCACATTGTTGGCTTTGTAGTGGTTATTCATAGTACAAGATGCAGACATGATATCCTGTCCAAACACTATTAGTACAAATCTTTCTTCTCAATGTAATAAAGAACCTACCAACAAAGAAAAGTCCAGGTCCTGATGGATTCACAGCTGAATTCTACAAGAAATTTACAGAAGATATAATCCCTATGCTCCTCAAACTCTTCAATGAAATTGAAAAGGAAGCAATCCTCCCAAAATTGTTCCTGGTGGCAAGTATTATACTGATACCAAAACCAGGGAAAGACACAACTACAAAAGAGAACTACAGGCCAATCTCCCTCATGAACATAGATGCAAAAATCCTCAATAAAGTCCTAGCAAAAGAATACAGCAAATCATCAAGAAGATTATACATCATGACCAGGTAGGATTCATCCCAAGGACATTCTTCAGTGAAAGTGGCATTTAAAAAAATTGTAAGTGTGCAACAGTGAAGCATCCAATGGTTACTAGCACAGTCCAGTGGCACTGCCTTGAATAACCGTCCCTCCCTGTCTTTGTACCAACAAATACCACTTTAGTATTGCCATGAAAATTCTTTGTCAACCACCACTCTAGGAAAGGGAGAGCTCCAGCAGAACCAGCTGCAAGCTGGGGGGGGGGGCATGAAGAGTTGAGGGAAGCTGCTGCAAAGGTTGGGGAAGGCAAGAAAGGCCTACACTTGAGGAGGGGAGCAAGAAAGAAGAGAGAGGCTAGGTCTGCTACAGGGGAGGGAGAGGCAACAGAGGCAGGATTCATCTTCATCTTCATCGAGCCAATGACTAGGGATGGAGGAGGAGTCAAAGGCTACACCCTCCTTCCAGGAACCAGACAGTGTTCCTTTCTTCTTTATCTCCACTGCCTAAAATGAAGCCAGGCAGAGGTGAGCCTCAACATATATTTATACATTTATGCTTTTTAAAACTGGGCAGAGTGGCATATACCTATAATCCTAGCACTGGGACTGCTGAGAGTTCAAGGCCAACTTGGGCTAGAGTGAGTTCAAGGGCAACCTATATTTTGTAGTGAGACCCTGTGTCAAAAACAGAACAAAAAAGCCCTGTGCTTTTCAACCAAAATCGGGTACCACAAGAACAAGGTGCTGTCTGCAAAGGGGAGAACTCCAGAAGGGGAGCTGTGTTGGGGTGGGAAGCAGGAAAAGACAGTGGTGCTACCAGGATGCTTCAGGTGTAAGCAATGCCACATGGGAGCTGGGGACTATGAGAATGCACAGATAAAGCTAAAACCATCTCACCCAGCCATCACTATCACCCAGCCAAATCTATGAATGACTTGTAATTGGCCAGGAATGACAAAAGCTCAGATTAAAATGGGACACAAAATGCTTTAAAATATCACTATAGGCCAGGCATTATGGCACATCCCTGTAATCCCAGCACTTAGGAGGCTGAGGCAGGAAGATTGCCATGAGTTCAAGGCCAGCCTAGGCTACATAGTTTGTTCAAGGCCAGACTGAACTATATAGTGAGACTTGTCTCAAAAAAAAAAAAAAAATCATTATATGTCATATGTAAGTTAAAAAGGAATGAGAAGAGTTGCATCCCAGATTATTAACAATATTCCTTGGGGAGAATAAGAGTGGGTCTCTGCAAGAATTTTTTTTTTTTCTTTTTTCTTTTTTTGGTACCAAAGAGGGAACTGAGGCCTCTGCACTGAACTATATCCCCAGCTCTTTTTATTCTGCAATACTGTCTTGCAGGCTGGGCCTGAACTTAATTCTCTTGCCTTTCCCTCTAAGAATGCTGGGGTATGTAGCCACCAATGCCTGACTTGAATTCTACTTTTTTATACTTCTCTTGCATTGATTTACTTTTGCAATCAAAAGTAAGTAAACATGTCTTACTTAGCACATATTTTCTTATGTCCCATGACTATTTTTTTTTTTCCTGGAAAAAATGTGCTTCCTGCTGATGAGGTAAGCATTGTTTGGCATCCTAGGCTGCTCAGCTGAGTCCAGCTGCCCAACTAAATACTGAAAACTAGCACACAGAAGGCTGAGGCAGGAGGATTGCTCTGAGTTTGAGGCCAGCCTCGGCTTCATAGAGAGTTCAAGGTCAGCCTGGATCCACAGTGAGATCCTGTTTTGAAAGAAAGAAACAAACCAACCAACCAACCAACCAACCCACCAATCCACCCCACCTAAAACCACTGATATAGCTTAGGCAACTGCAGGTCCACACCTTTCTCTAGAAACAGTACATACTTTCGTTCTTTCTTTCTTTTTTTCATACTTTCAATTTGAAGTAACCTAGAAGGATAAGTGAAATGTATATCCAACTTACCTAAAGTTTCTGTGAACTTGAAATTCCAAGGGAAGTACTGCTGCTGTAGGGGTGGTGTTTCCCACAGGAAGTGTGTCACTGGCTGCTGCGCTCAGCCACTGTTCTTCAGTTCTCCATCAGCTTCTACTTCGTCTTATCTGTCATGAAAGCCTTCAAGAAGCAGAAGTAGGAAGGACATCAAAATACTGACTTTGCTAAGAGGACCCAGAGAGGACAGAGATCTCCCCATGTGCCCAGCCCTGTGAGTTATACTAGGAAGTAGATATATACATGGAAGCCACAGACATCCCTAGGGTTTAAAATCCAGACAAGTGAGTATCTGTAAATGCTGACCCTAAGCCTTAAGAGTTAATGAGGGACCAGTAAGATTTTTCAGGTTCAGTTTCCATTGTGGGATGTCACACTCCAAAAGACCTAACTGAGCCAGAGTGACAGCACTAAACTCTTTTATCAATCTGAGGAGTCCTGGGCAAAAGGTAAAAGCTGATAGTTCTCCGCTGCCTGCTTTTAAGAGACAGAAGGACTCTGGTTCTCCTTCTGAGTGGCCAGGGCTGAGCCTCACAGGCAAGAGGTCACAGTGCCAGAAAGAGAAAGCAGATGCCAAGGGCAGCAGGAGGCATGAGTGGAAAAAGTTTTCTGCCAAGTGCATAAATACTACCAGCTTCCAATGCGATGCCTTCGTTTTCTGTATGTCCACTGCTATTTTTAATCCTATGATTACAGCCATCAAATGCCAAAGTTGTGCTGTCAACTTCTTGTCTATTAAATAAATATGTACTTCTTCTTTACCCAGGAGAAAAGCTCCAAAAAATGCAGCTTACATCTGAATTTTGGGCCTTTGTGCCAACATTTGTAAAAGCGCTATCCAATTGGAAGCTGGATGTGTTTCAACACTACCTCAAAGCACATGTCTCAAAGTGGACTTGCCCCCACCCCTACCCACAACTTCCTTCCTCTTGATTTCTTCTCTATCAGATCACATCACCCGCCTAGCCACCCAGCCACAGGCCCTTTAGATAATTTCCAATATCTCTTTCTCATCTATCTACATAACTTCCCGGTACTGACACTATCAGGCATTCCTTTAACTTTGTATACAGTTCCTTGAAAACAAAACAAAACAAAACCAAACACCTCCTATTTGTCCCTCAAACCCCATCACAAATTACTAAGAGTAATCCTGCAAGGTCCAGAACAGCCTTGACTTTCTACTTCATTCTGTGTCTCGCCAAGCCCACATATTCCTTTATTACACAGCAGGCTATACATACGCCTGCGCAGCCCTCCTACCAGGCCATAAGCTCCTCAGAAAAAGAGATTCATGTTCTTCATCCCTGTAGTTCTAGCAACTGACATAGTACCTGGTACCAAAACAGGGCTCCAGTGAATCTGAATGACTTTGCTCACAAGGTATCTCTTCATTTTCCATCAGTGACACTAGATTAGTAGACAGTATGGCTCACTGCACTTTTATTCCCAGACAAATCTCTAAGACCCAATGAGATTGCTTCCCAAGAAACTTGGTCCTTCCTCTTCCTGCCAGGTGCTGCAGGACAGCTGTAATGCTTTTGGACTCGGGGCCTTTAATCTTACCACAGGTTTTTCCTTTTTTTTATTTTTTTATTTTTTGAGACAGCATCTCACCATGTAGTTCAGACTGGCCTTGAACTCAGAAGGCTGAGACAGGAGAATCACTGCAAGTTCAAGGCCAGCCTGAATTACATGGTGAGACCCTGCCTCAAAACAAAAAAACAAACAAAAGCTAGACTTCCTATAGAAGTTTCAGAGCAAAAAGCTCTGAAAAACAAAGGTTCCATCACACTGCCTTCAAGATGGACAGTATGCGGGGGGGCAGGCAGCAAAAAGACTACAACTTACAGAATTTCCATCTGCAAGAGATGGAAAGACGCAGAGCCAGAACTGCACCTGTCATTTCCTTGCTCCAAAACCTCTAATGGGGGTTACTGTCTGTAGAAAAACAAAGCTCCAGTGTGATCATGAAGGGCCTCTCCAGTGTTGCCCGCCCCGCCTTCCTGCTTTCCAGTCTGTGCCAGAAGACTGCATCCGTGCTCCTGCTATGGGAGCTGCTTTTACTTGATGGCCCTAAACAATTTCCAGCTTCTCCTGTGTGTGTATAACTCAACCACACTGTGACATTTCCTTTTTTTTTTTTTTTTTTGGTGGAACTGGGGATTGAACTCAGGCCCTTGGTCCTGCCAGGCAAGTACTTATTCTACTGAGCCATCTCCCCAGTCCCTTCACATTGTGACATTTCATTACACATCTCATCCTAAAGTTGGGTGTGGTGGCACACGCCTGTAATCCCAGTACTTGGGACCCTGAGGCACAACGAGTGCCATAAGTTCAAGGCCAGCCTGGGCTACATAGTAAGATCCTGTCTCAAAGTAAGACAAAGCAAAACAAAACAAAACAAAACAAAACAAAACAAAACAAAACAAAACACATCTCTTCCTACTCAGAGCTAGGGTTGGGGCAGATACTATGTCTGAGTCAGCTCTGATTCCCTTATACCTAGTACAGGGCCTGCCACAGGGCAAAGGCTTTGTAAGTGTTGGTGAATGAATACATTCTCTAAAGTTACCCTTATTTTAGCAGACTGAGCACAGTCCTGGTCACTGCCAGGAAGCAGAAAAACCAAAGAGAAAGAAAAGAAGTATAACCAATGTGATCCAAGCAATGGAAAATAGGTTTTAAGGGCGAGGAGAAAGCAGCCCAGGCTGTTTAGCCTGGAGAAGAGAAGATGAGGTCTAACTGAATTCTAGCTTTAAATACAGAAAAGGTTCTCATGAAAAATCTTGATCTCTTCCTCCCTTTATTATCAGAAGAAACTTTTCCATATTGATTGAAAACAGAACAATAGGAACTGGCTTCAGTTAAGGCCAGAAGGGCTCAAACTGGTGAGAAAGAAGAACCACAATAGGCACCAGTTTTCCAGAGATACTGCACTGCTGTTCTTTTTGGCACATCTGGAAAGGACTTGCTGAGCACTCTGCTGACAGATGGCTGTGCAAGAGGAAATGAATACACTGCTCTGGTCTTATCTTACTGCAGAAAGAGGCAGAAGACTCGTGAGTCAGGTGAGATTTTTCTAACAAGTCACTGACTTTTTATTGACTTTTTTTCCTGCAGGCACTTTTTGTTATGTCAGGATTTGTAATCCTGTGATGAACTAATCTAGACTTCCAAGTTTCCTGCTAGTACAATGGAAAGAGAGAGAGACAATGCCAGAGTGAGCTGGGCAAAGTGGTGCATGGTTGAATCCCAGCATTCCAGAGGTTGAGGTAGAAGAATGACTGAGTTAGAAGAGGTCAGCAGAGCTACAGAGACCCTGTCTAACAAAACAAAACCAGAGTGAGACAATGGGGAGAACTTACAGAAATGTACTTTCTATAAAAACACTACCAAACTGGGCATTAATATAATGGTCCATATTATTATTTTTTTTAATTTGTATTTATTTATTTATTTTGGGGAACCAGGGATTGAACTCTGAGCCATCTCCCCAGCCCCTAAAATTCTTTTTTTTTTTTTGGTGGAACTGGGGATTGAACTCAGGCCCTTGCGCTTGCCAGGGAAGCACTTATTCCACAGCGCCATCTCTCTGGCCCACTGTCCATATTATTATTAAAGCTAACATTCACTCGGTACCTACTACATGCTAGGCACTGTTCTGTTAACAGGTTTTCTCAGTTCTCTTAAAAACCGCACAAGGTAGGTAGTACCACCTTACAGATAAAGAACCTGAGTCTAAGGTTAAGTGACTTGCCTGATTCACACAGCTAGCTAGTGACAGAGGCAGGAGTGAAATGCAGATAGTTTGAGTCTAGTCTATACCCTACATACTGTCTATTAGGGATGAAAGGCTGAAAGTTAGACCTTAGTCTCTTGGAACCCAGGTTCATAGTCTGTGCTAGTCCGGTAGACTACCCCAAGTCTGGAAAAGAAAAGCAACACATGACATTGGTAAGAGACAAGTCCTCAGAAGAGAACTCACATCCTCCACTATGCTGGGGAAGGAGGCTGAGATCCAGGACTCACAGATGAAGGAAAGCAGACCAGGCCCGGAAGGCCAGCCTCCTGTCTCACTTGTAGTGCTCCTTCCTCTGTGACAGGTTCTCTTTGAATCTGATGCAAGGGATGTGTCGGAAAAGCCGTCTCCCTAGAAGTCCTTTTGGCAGTGAGCTGCCAATCGAAATCAGAACCTGTGCCTGAGATACAAGGGCCTGCAGCTTTTGTGAACTCATCCCAAGATTCTACAAGTTAAGGGTAGCAGTACACTGGCCGGTGGCATGGCAGGGGCTGCCAAGATGCTCACATATTCACCCGGTGGAGCAGATCTGGACCTGGCATCTCCTACACCGGGAAGAAGTACACAGTTTGAAGCCTTGCCACCGGTGTCCCCACTGTGGGAGCTTCTCGGCTACGTCTGTCTCTGTCCTGTGGCCACCCTAACTGGAGCTGAGGTCATGGTCACCAGCTCTGCAGCACAGTGGAAAGATCAGAGGCTTGCAGGCTCAAGCTTTCCGTGCCACTTGCCACCTACCTGACCTAGAGAAGTCTCTGTAATCTTCTTGAAGTCTGGTTTTTCATCTTTAAATCAAGGATAAATATCCCTATATTACCAGCATTGGGAAGATTAAACAAATTATGGTGGATAAAGCATGATGCAAGCTCCAGTGCAAAGCAGGTATTTGATAAACGTTAATGTTCTCCCCATCTGCTCTGCATTTTATTCATAATTTACCCTCTTAGTGTATTTTTCCTCCTCACCAACTTCTCTTCCCTTCCTACAACCCCCAGATACACACACATACACGTACACACACACATCACACGCACACACACGCAGGTTCCTCTAGACCACGGCTTATGCTGCTTCTCCTCTCAGGAATGAACTCCTGCCAAGGCCCAGAATAAATTCTTCACCGAATATTCTGGTCACATTGGGATTGATTTTTTTCTTCTCCCAAACTCCCACTTTGTTTATATTTCGTATTACATTTACCATAGTCAGTCTGATTTATGTACTTATCTATCTTCCCAACTGCACTGAAGGGAGAAGCCTCGGCAAAGAACATTACTTATAGAAGGGCAAGAAATGTGCTGTCCTCAGTGTTTATTTCTTAATACCAGGGGTTTGTACACAGCAAGAATTTAATATATATACTTACTGAATTGAATCCTTCCATCCTAGACTATGAATCACAGAAAAATCCAGAACTAAGTTATTTTCCCCCCTAAAACTAAGTATTCGGTTTCTGATTTAATAAACGGGCAATCTTTGAAGTATATTTATATTCCTAAACTAGGATCCACAGTACTAAGGTGCACGTCCTCCATTCCTTCCTCCATCCCACCAACACAGCCTGTATTCTTTTTTTGACATCTCTCCAGCATGCAGGGAGACACTGCTAGGAAGACATCTCTCAGTCATACCAATGTTGGGCTGGGTAGATAGCTCAGCAGCATAAGCCTGGCAAGCCCAAGGTCCTGAGTTCAATCCCTAGTATCAGAAAACCCAATTAAAAAAAACCTCAATTTCATAGGATCAGAGAACAGATCTAAATGATTTCTATATGCTTCAGTTTCTAAGTCTATAAAATTGCTTAAATTGTTGAAAACAGTGTCCACCACTCAACAATTATTAGATATTATATTAATAATGTAGACCCAGGTATGGTGGCACATGTCTTAGCTAGGCAGGAAGCTGAGGCAAGAATCTCTTGAGCACAGGGAAGTTGAGGCCAGCTGATAACACTGGACTCCACCTCAAAAATTTAAAACTAAACAATTTAAAAATTATTTTAAAAAGTAACATGCTAGAGCTGGGGCTATAGCTCAGCAGCATAAGTGTCTGCCTGGCAAGTGTGAGGTCTGGAATTTGATTCTTAGCACAAAAAAAAAAAAAAGTAACATACTGAAGGTAGGTGTGGTGGTGCACACCTGTAATCCCAGCACTCTTGAGGCTGAGGCAGGAGGATGGATCACCATGAGTTCAAGGCCAGCCTGGGCTACATAGTGAATTGAAGGTTGGCCTGAACTACAGTGAGACCCTGCCTCAAACAAAACAAAACAAAACAAAACAAGACAAGACAAACCAAACTAAACCAGCTGGAAAGGCCATTGCACTTCCAGAACTCTGTCTACCCCTGCCTGATTCCTTGCATAATCTTGAGTAAGTCCATTCCCATCTCTGGGTCTTTCCCCATCTGTAAAACAAAAGTGATAGAACCAGATGGTTCACAAGCTCCTTCTATTTTCAACAATGCATATTTTTCTATGATCAATGGAGAACCTTCTGTTCCATATGCTGAGGCTGTTGGCAAGGAAAAATGTGAATTTGTAGCTGCTGGTCCCAGATGGGAATGACAACTGTTTACCAAGGCCAAAGGCAGAACAATTGATTAGTCAGCCACCTGTGAGTTCTCCCTGTGTGACCTGTACCATAGACCGAGTAAATACCTAAGCAGGGCACTAATAATGTCCCAACAAAACTCATAGCAAGGGCAAGACACTGGCCTCAAAAGAACAGCAATGTGGAATCTTGACTCAAGCAGAATTCATATACTCTATAGCCTTTGATGCCTATAATTAGGGTACCACCAGTATAAACTACTGCCCTTCTAGTCACAAAGAAAAGGAAAAACACAAAGTCTTCCTCTAAACCAGACAGGTCATAAAACCAAGGACCAGAGTACACAAAAAATGTCACTGATTGATTTAATCTGAAAGATTGCAGCGATGTACTATATGTCAGCCTTGTGTCAGGCAGAGGAGCAATGAAACAGGGATGGTCCCTTGCCTCCAAAGTATTTAAGAGTACATATGGGGTGCCATACCCCTGGTGTACACTGTAATAAGAGCTCTAGTGGAGGTTCAGCCTCTGATGCGGAAGATGGGAAGGGAAGCAACTGACCAAGCAGGAGAATGAGAACCCTCAAAAGGTAGGGCATCTGAAACATGGGGCTTGAAAGATGAAAAATGGGAGGAAGTACAAACACAGGCTGGAGCAGCAATTCAGGGATTGTTTAAGGAACTAGTTATTTTGAGTAGGGCACAGGATGCAGGTTTCAAAAAAAACCAAAGAGAACAAGACAGAAAAGGGGTCTAGGGAAGAGATTATGGAGAAACTTCCTGAGCAACCAATGAAGTTTGCAAAAGTCTTTGAGCAGAGATAAGATACAGTACAACAGGATCTGAACAGTGTCTTAGGAAGGTCTATGGACACTCACAAAGAGGATGCAAAAAGAAACATGTTATAAAATGACTGTGGGACCATCTAACAAGAGACCATGCTCTTCCCAACTATGGGTGTGCTGGAGTCCAATAGCTCTTGTTCACAGAGCTTCTCTCCTCTGTTTTAGCCTCATGAGACTTGAATTGTCAGGCACCCTCACTGTCAAAATCTACTGAGCACTAGATTCTGGATTACAGAGAAGAGCTGAGACGCAGCAGGGGGATGGGAGCACCAGGCTCCAACTGGCTCAGTTCCATAGAGACCCTGGGTCTGCTCTTCCCATGGCTCCCCGGCCGGCCACAGTGGCGTCCAGTCCTCTTTATGGCAGCTGAAGCTAAGGAAAGTTAGCCAAATGCACTGGCTGATGGCTGAGGATCCAGAGGGACCCTATACACCAACTTTCCACACAGGCAGTGGCCACTCAGGACTAGGCCTTTTCCCATCCTGCAGGGTCAATTCCACTTGACCATTGGATCAGAGGAGCTCTTTCCCTAGGGCTTCTCTCAAGTATCCCAGACCAAAATGACCTAGTTTCTTGAAGTCACAGCAATCACGAACCTACTGTATGACAAGTGAGCAGCTGAGTTAGATTATAATCCTACTTATCCTTCACAGTGATCCTATTCTGTTTTAGAGAGAAGAAATGAGCTGAGAGAGGAGATGACATGCCCGAGGTCACACCGCTGGGAGGTGGCAGAGCTGAGATCCCCAGGGCTGCCTCATTCCTGTCACTATGCTGGTCTTTAACCTTCCACTGCAATTCCTGCAGGTTGCCTACAAGGTCTTTGAAGAGAGAGACTGCACCTGAAACTACTACCTCTCACCACTGGACAATCACCAGCACATGGCAGGAGCTTTTCAGTACTGTATTCGTAAAAAAAAAAAAATGAAAACAGCTAACTTTTAAAACAACGCAGGACACACATTCTATAAATTCTCCACGTGAAAAGCTCCCTGAAGTTGGACTGCCTACACCCTGAGCCCTGCTACAGCCGTACCCTGACCTCCAGTTAGGACCGTGGCTCAAACCGGTCTGGGGGTGATCTCCAACCTCAGACGTCTATGAGCTCTGTCTTGTCAAAACTCAAGTCCCGGCCGACCCTAGGCACAAGCTGCGCCTCAACTGGGACGCACGCTGCGCCCCTGTCTCAGCACAGACGGAACCCTGGCCAGTCTCAGTGGAGCCCTGAGGACAGTCCTAAACAAGGGTCCCCTTCGGCCGACCCTCTGCAGCAGAACCGGGTCGTGACCTCCAGACCCTCTTAAGGCTACGAATGCTCCCCTTGAGCTCATGGAGTCACTCCAGACCCCCACCCAGTCCTGCTCCGAGCGACGCGCGGGCAGTCTCGCTTTTACCTTGGCAGAGCGCGGGCGACCGCGGCGGCGCGCACCCCTACCTGCTGGTCTCTGTCGGGAACGCGGAAGGGGCGGAGCTAGACCCGAAGGGAGGGCCGGAGCAGAGAAGGGCGTGAGAGGGCGGTGCGGCGCCTGTGCCTCGTTGGCCTCAGAGGAGGGCGGGGGCGAGCCGAATAAACTGCGCAGGCGTGCTAGGCGTGGGCGGGGAGACAGCGGCTGGGGGCGGGGCCTAGCTCCACACTTTTCCGAGGGGCGGTAGCGTTGGAAGCCAGAGACGCGCCTGGTGAGGTTGTGCTGGGCAGCGGCAGACGTTATCAGTATTTACTGAGCGCTTCTGCAAGTCACGGAGGAATTTTAAAGTGTCATTTCAATATGAGGAAATGTTCCTACGCTTTTCTAAAACAGGGGCCAATTCTTGAAAAATTTCTATAAAGGTCTGGATGCCTACAATTTCCCAGGAGAGTCTCAGTAAAATGTCACTAGTTGTTCAAAATTAAAAACAAAATCATTTTTAAAAGCTCTTGGAGAAAATCAACTGTAAATAGACAAATACCTCAACCAGAGTCCTTGCCCTACTCCCTCAGGCTTTGGGTGCCATCAGAGGGAAGGATAGTTCCAGCATGGATTTCATTCAGGTTCTGATGCTGTTTCCTTCTTTGTAAGATTGACATACAAAATGCCTCCCCTTCGTGACTCAGGCTTGCGGTGAGGGTCTGGTGAGCTATGCTACTTAAAGAGCTTCTTAGATTTTAATTGTCAGTTCCCCTTCTGGGCTGTCCTCACCTTTGTGATGGAAGGAAGTGAGGAGCCTTAGGGAACACTCATGACTTTGCTAGACTTTCCAATCCAGATGAAGGGGTAGGGGGTCATCTCCCAAGATTCAGTGTTCAGTTTCTCGTGGAATCACTCAGTCCAAGCAGAAGGCCTGTGTGACCCAGGATCTCTCACCTATTATCCCCCAGCCACTCAAGCTTCAAGCCCTCAGAGACGTTGTTGACTTGTTTCCCCATCTGTCTAGAGAACCAAGCTGGTTATGACTCCCTCAGGCCTAAGTTCTGAACCAGACTCTCAAAGTTGCTATGCTCCCCACATGGCAACCTGGTTCAGGTAACAGAGGAGGGCTGGAGGGGGTGGGTTCAGAAGAAGGAGGGCCCCTCCAAAGCAGGTGAGACTCCAGTCATGCTTGTGGCTCTTTCCACCACATGTTTCATAGCTCCCTATGTAGTTTAGCAACAGTGAACCTCAAAAAGGCTGGAGTGTTCCGGGGGCCAGGGTAGTGGGGCATCTTTACTCAGCAGGGGGATGATTTGCTTCAGGGCGAAGATGGCTTACTCCCTTGTTCCCTGATCCAACGATTGTATAGATTATTATTTTTTTTTTGTACTAGGAATTGAACTCAAGACCTTGAGCTTGCCAAGTAGGCACTGTGCTGCTGAGCTATATCACGACCTTGTTATGGATCTTGAGCCAATAAGAAAACAAAGCCTAGCTGGCTTCCCAACCAACCTGCCACTCTATTTCCAATATGGTGCCTCTCCAGGGGCCCTCTTTTGGTAGGGTTTACCCTGTTGGAGGGAGGGACTCTGATCACCAAGGACCCTGTTCTCTTCTCTTGTCTGCTCTTCTATGCAGCCCACTCTGGATCTCTCAAAGTAATATCTGTGTCAGCTTCCTGGCATATTTGTGGATGTTCCCATGGAACAAGAGATATTCCCTTGGACCACATAGTTCTGAGGTAAATTTATTTTCACCTTCAAGGTATATTTCAAAATCACCTTGAGCTCAGCACATGGACTTTCTAGGTTTTTACTGTCCAGTGATGGAGGTCATGAGATACAGGGGTGCCTCAGTTTAGGAATTTAATTTGTTTTACAGTTTTGGGGGAGATGGTTGTATTATAGTTTTTGTGGGGAAGATAGTCATGGTTGTGTGTCATCGCATGTGGAGTTTGCAAATGGCAGCAAAATTTTGCCAAACGCTTTTGTTTGTAAACTGAGTTGTTTACAAATTCAAGTGTTTGTGAACTGAGGTACTGCATATTTTATTTGTCATTAGAGATATGCAAACAGTATTCTGGTTTTTTGTTTGTTTGTTTGTTTTGTGGTACCAGGGATTGAACTCAGGACCTTGCACTTTCCAGGCAAGTACTTATTCTACTGAGCCATCTCCCTGGCCCACAAACAGTATTCTTTTAGAATGATGGATCTTGGGCCTTCTTTAGCCAGAAGAAGAAACAGCAGGATGAATCTGGAGATCTCAGAGCAGTGAAAGGATGGATATTGGAGGCTGGGAGGGAAGCCAGGCAGCTAGTTAAAGAAACTTGCGTCAACAAGCTACTATATGCAGGCACTTATAGTTGTATCTGACCTACAGTGACCATTAGCCATTATTATGAATAACTCAAAGGTTCCAAGTAGTGAAAGAGGAATCAATCAGGCCCACTTCCAAGTATGAAACAGATGGGAAATTGCAAGCTTCAGGTCGAAGGGACTTTTCTTGGCACCTTGGGGGCTGGGCTGGGACTTGCATCCAGGCCTGCAGCTCTCAGAAGAGCCCTTGCACAAAGCCAAGCTAGATCTATTGCAGGCAGAGGGGAAACTTTAGGTGGGCATTTGCTGATGCTTGAGAACCAAGCTGCTTTTCAACTCCCGTTTGGAAAGCTTGTGGATTAGCAACAGTGAAATGACAGCAAATCTGAGCCAACAGTCTTAGATGTGTCCTAGAAAGTAGATTCAGGAGTGAGCCCTGTGTCCTCCCTCTCACATTTCAAGCTCTGCCAAGACCTCCTGTAATTAGAGCTCGGATTGTATTTTCTTTTTGCCCCTTGACTCATTATTTCCCCAAAACAATCTTAAAGAAGCAGGTAGAATGACCATATCCAATGCCAGGTAAATTGAGCTAAAACAAAAGGTTCCCCATCAGACTGAGTTCTTGGAAGACAAAGAACAGTCCTCCCTTACCCAAGATTTCCCAGCCCAGCATGGGTTAGAATTTTCAGAGCCCTGGAAGAATCTTGGTGTCCCCACCCTGTGGATATGGGCCTGGGCCAGACATGACCACACCAGCCAGCCCTCCACATAGCCCAGGATCTCAAGACAAAATCCCTCCTAGCTCCATTCTGCCCTGGATCCTTCCACAGTCTGCCAAAAGCCATGTGGCACCCAGATCACAGCTTCTCACCAGTGACTGCTTTAGTTTACTTCTTTTATTTTACCAAAAATAACAATAATAAGGTCTTTCCTCTGTTTCACAGAAATAGATTCCCCCATCCCTTCCCTACAATCAGCCCTTGCCAAGCCTAGAATCCATCATGCAAGCTTCAGTTCATGTTGAGGGAAGGAAGCTCCTACTCCCCTTACTCCAGAGCTGCTGGTAAAGCTGCCACGGCAGAATGCATCTCTCGGGAAAGTTTTTGGAACCAGCAGAGGCAGAAGTCCCAGGCCCAGCTGGCTGGCCTTGAGCTGTTTCCCCAGAGGACAGGCAGTTTCTGGGCCATCAAAGGAACATGATTTTGGAGGCTTGGCTCAGCAGCTAACCCCAGCCAACCCAAGGGGGGGGGGTAGGGTTCTTGCCATCTGGCTAGAAATCTTTGCTTAAAGCAGAACAGTTGTATCCTGGTGAGAAAGAGAAGAGAGAGAGAGAGAAAGGATCTGCCAAAATCTCCATGTGCATCTCTGTGTAGTAGTCAGTGGGCCCTGGCATGGGAGTCAGGACCCCTTGATTTTACTTCAGTTCCACAAAAGACTCACCTTGAGGGTGGACAGTTTTCCTTTCTCTTCCTGGCTTCAGTTTTCTCTTTTGCACACTGAAAGGCTGAGACTACATGATTCTCAAGGCCCTTCTGATTCTCCATCCTAGCCTTCCAGTGTGGGGCTCTGGGAGGGCAGAATCCTATTCCTACTTGAGTTCCCATACCCATGGGTCTGGGCACAGGGCTGGCATAGAGGTACTGAGAAATAGGTTGCTGATTGAACATCCCAGCCTCTCTGTGAATAGTTGTGTGGAGGTCAACCAGCTGGAATGTTTCTGAGATGGTTGCGAAGGAGGCAAGAACTTTTAGAATAGGGATTCTCCATGGCTACATGGTCAATGTCCTGGGGTGGGAAACAAGATTCCACAGACTTCCCAAGTTGAGTCCCACTGGCTCTTTGGGCTGGAACGTTATTTTGTACTCGGCTTCAGATCCTATGAATCAGGCCTGTAGATCTGGGAGCCAGATAGGAGTACATGATTCTTAGTTTAAGAGACAGCAGATCTTCATGGATATAAAGAATCTTGATGCTCAGAAGGCCTGTCAAGGGGCCCTCCTAGAGAGAAGGAGTGAAATGACAGCTTGTTGGCATCTCTGGCTCAGCAAATCAGCAACGACAGCTGTGATGAGCCAGGGCTTTAAGGAACTCAGGTAATATCTCTCCTTTTCAACTTCTACCCAGCTCCCAGGACTCATGCTGATGGAAGATGGCTGCCTGCAAGTCTCATCTGTACTATGTCTACAGCTGCATTATTCCTATAGTGGCCATGGTCAAAAAATCTCAGTCTCTTTGCACATTCAACCATCCATCCATCCGACATGTGAGAAGGCCTAAGTATGTGCCAGGGAGGGTCTGGCTCTCAGAGACACACCCCGCAGTCAAAATCAGGCTCACAGACACATCCACACTGGCATCTGTGCTCACTCACATGCAGGTACTCCTCTATTGCACCTTTCTTGCCATCACCTTTGCCATATGCACACTTCCCAAGCAGGCCTGAGAACCACCATGGCAGGGTCAGGTGATAGAGAAGAACCCAGTAACTCATTCCACTTCCAGACTTCATCCCAGGGGTTTGAGTACTCCATTTCTCTGTTTGCCACTTGAAGCCTTCTCCTTTTTCATTCATAGTCAAGGGGACATACAAGTTGACTTTGGAGAACCAGAAGTCTGGAGGCACTGGGTATGTGGAGGAGTCCTGCGGCCTTCAGATTCTGTTATCATCAGAATCCCAAGAGTCTCCTCTACCAGCCATGTTGTATTCCGATGGTCCGACAATGCCCAGGCCTGGACTCAGTGACAGATCCGTTCTGTCATCTCCCTCTATAGAAACATAAGGTGTGGAGGAGTCAGCCTGAGCTTAGCTTACCAGAAACCCCTTCCTAAAGTACAGGGCCTAACTACTCTCCTGCCCAAGCCTGGTACCTCTCACGCCCACCCCAACTCTAGGGTGCAGATCTGGGGTTGTAAACTGACACTTGAATGAATTTTCCACTGAAGTACACAATCCAGTGTTAGATGTTAACCCACTGGGGTATTGGAGGGTTTTTTTTTAACAGCAGGTACCCTTTAGGTCTGAAGACTCCCAGAGGCTACCCTTGGCAAGGAAGAGCAGTAGGGTTTGGCCTCACCAATGGCTCTAGCTCCCGCTGGTCCACCAAGCTGAATTCCCGGATGAAGTAGTAGAAATGCTTGTAGCAGGTGTTGACATGAGCCTCCGCCCCCATGCTGAGGATGCTATCGAAGTGGTGGATGTAGACATGGACAAAGACTCGGAAGAGCCTGGTTAGAATCTTGGTGCAGACTTGCTGGAAGTTCTTGGGGAAGGGAACTCCTAGGGGTTGGAGAGGGACAGAGTGGGATCAACATCCTGTGATGAAACACGACCCACCACTGCCTCCTCTACATAGGCAGCCTTCACCTAGGGTGGCCCTGCTCCTACCTCTAAGCATATTTCCTTTGGAGGGAAGCAGGGAAGGAGGGAGGGAGGGAGGGAGGGAGGGAGAGAGAGAGAGAGAGAGAGAGAGAGAGAGAGAGAGAGAGAGAGTTTTGCTTTCTCCCATACTTTCCTTTTTAATGAAGAACATATTTGTGCCTTTCCCCTGCCAAAATATAAATCATCTTTCACCTTTCCTACCCTTAGCCTCAGACTACCCTTCCTAGACCATGATGAAATTTATGACTTGAGTTCTCCCCAGAAATATGTGCACCTGCAGGGATCACACCCATGCACACAATTCCAAGGGGAACCCATTAACATCTGGGTCTGTTTTGGAAAAACCTTGGACTTCAGGATTAAGTCCTAACTTCCCAGCATGGCATTAGGCAAGGCCTTTCATGATCTGATCTTGACCTCTCTCTCCAGCCCTACAGTGAGACCCTTCTCTTTTCAATATTTACAAAGTGGGACCCCCAAATGCTGATAATTACTAATTCTTTGAGAATTTATTTAGACATTCCCTCATTCCTTCAAATAGTTAACAACACAAAGAAACTTCCAACTGTGAGTTCAGTCTTTGTACCTTTGGCTTCTAACCCTTCAGATTCCTCAGATGGGTCTGATAGTCATTCTAGGTGTGATAAAGAGAGGTTGTGTGTAAAGGGGAAACCACTTACCCACAGTCACATAATTATTAGTCAGATGAGACTCGAGTCAGGATTCAAACTATCTTTTCACTACACTACTTTACACTACACAGTTGGTCTTGCCTCTTTTGGACTCAGTTTCCACTTATGTAAAATAAAGGAGCTCACTGTTAGGCAAGATAGTGCAGGATATGGCAGCCATGACCAGGGGAGAAGCTATGTCCATAGAATTGTGACTGGGTACCCAGCTTCCCTCAGCACTCTGACTTCTTCCTTCTGGGCTTGACCAGCTGCCCCATTATTCTGAGTCCCAGAGATATGGCTGGGATGAACAGGAGGCAGGTGGGAGCCAGGGCCGAGGGTACAGGTGGGGCTGTCCTGAACACATTATCAGTCTGCTCAGCTCTTGGGTAGGGAAGCAGCACTGGGATGACCTCATTCACTTCCCCTCCCCTCCCCTCCTCTCTTCACCCCTCCCTCCGTCAGGCTGCACAGCTGAGATAAGAAAAGGCCCAGTGGCCAGGGCCTGACAAGGAAACTGTCCTCAGTGCCTCAGTCTGAGGTAGAGATAACTCTTGGTCCCACTTAATCTGTAAGCCCTCCCTTAGAGGGACCTGCCAGGAGGCTGGAAATAGATCAGCACAAGCTGGAAGACCTGTTAAGCTGGAGTGACTCCTAGTGGGAGAGACACTCATGCATTGGACCAGAAGTGCCTCAAAGGTGAGTTTGACCTTGAGCAAAACAGTTAACCTGTCTCAGCCTCAGTTTCCTTTTCTGCAACATGGGGCTGAAAACCACTCACTCTCCAGAGCTGCCATATCAAATTAAATGCTGCATCTGGATTGGATTGGACTTCCCGGGGCTGCTACCCTTCTTGGCCAGGCTGACCCTCTAGCCAGGTGCACTCACCAACACGTGTAGGGAAGACATCCTCATCATTAATGAGACCTTCAATCCAGTCCATGAGCAGCGCCATGTAGCGCGGTGCCGAAAGCTTGGCCGGCCGCCGGTACTGGTGCTCATCCTGCCAGCGGTACTCGTAGCGGGGCCCACCAGCCATGACGGGGCAGCTGGTCTCATTACAGCGCTCAGCCATGGTGCCGTAGATGAGGTTGATGCGGTTGAAGAAGTCCACCACGTGGACCGCGATCCAGTCATCGATGCTCTCGCCGGGTGGTAGCCTCACCACACTACGCAGGTCCAGGCCAGACTTGAGTGATGCCTGTGCCTTCTTGTACAGTTCAAAGCGCTGTGTGCCTGGCTCGAAGCGCTTTCGAGGCCGGAATGTCTTGTCCTTGGCAAATACCTGCTTTAGGCAGAGTGCCATGGTCAGAACTGGTGGATCTGGGTGTCCAGCGGCAGGGACCTGAGGATGCCCTGTGAGGGTCGAAGACAAGGGGAGTAGGTAGTCAGGCCTTATCACATGATCTTTGAGTTCCCAATACGTCACATCTCTCTCTCCTCTTGTCCTTAGAGCGATCTCCACCCTTTCAACCTGAATTCTAATTCCACCTCCCCCAAGTCCAGCGTCATACCCACTTTCCAGGCTAATTTAGCTCCTCCTACTGCGCCTCCGAAGGCCTTTTCTTTGCATTCACCACACCTCACCACTAGGGGGCTGGCCCTGGGTTCAAACAGCGGCTCTTCAGAATTGCTGCAAATTGTTATAAAGGTGGAGGACGCTCCTGCAGGCCCACAGGGAGACAAGGTGACTTCTGGAAGCCGCATAAGCAGTTGTGCAGAGTCGGAGAGCCTGGCTGCATTGTGCTCTAGGGAGGAGGAAGGCCCTGGCTTTCGGCTTCCTCTGGGATATCCCGTATCCATCCGGGCACCGGGGATTCCCAGGGAGCAGGAGGAACTTCTCTACCAAAAATGTCCTTTCCTTTTTTTCTTTTACTCTGAAAGAGGAAAGGGCCCTCACATGGCCAGCTGGATGAACTCTGAGTGGGCTGAAGGCACCGGAGGAGGGGGAGGGTGGCGGGCCAAGAACACAGCTTCCTCTGACAACTGCTAAATGGCCTTCCTCCCAAGCCAGCCTCTTCCAGCTCCAAACATGAACAAGTCCCTGGCTGTCGCTCTGCACCTGACACTGAAGAGACATTCCTACCTTGCCTAATCTGCACCTGATATAGAGTGTGGGAGGGACAGGGAGGGCGGTCAGAGTTATTTAGCGGAGCATATCTACTGCTTCCGTTGCTTTGCCTCCTACAATGGAAAGATCAGAGACTCAGAATAGATTTTGAGAAGCAGCAATCCGAGCTGCAAGAGTCCTGGGTTCTAGTACTAGCTTCACCACTGAATGCTGGGTAACATTTGTAACACCATGGACTTGGCACATGCAAATGCCAGGTCACTCTGATACGACCAACTTTCTGAGGGTCTTAAGAAGGCTTTTTGAGGGTCTCAAGACAGTCATACATCTCTCCTGTGAGTGTCCAAGGTAGCAGGAAGTGCAGATCCAAGTATCTGCTGATACTGGAATGTAGCCACAATCTATTCCTTGACTGACCCAAGACTGAGTGCTGAAGTCAAGAATAAGCTAAGCACTGAGCTGGGGCTCCTGGCTGGACTCTGATTTGTGCTTTGACTCTGGTGAGTCTGAGCTTTGACTCTAGCCCCACACAGAGCCTTGACTTCAGACTGACATTGGCACACTAAGCCCAGATCTCCTTTCCTGGAAGCCACTCACATCTGGGTAACTGGTGGGCAGGATTGGGAAGGGGGTACGGGTGGGAAAAGGTGTCAACTAAGTATAAGAAAAATAGAGTACACATGGAGGGGATGTTGTTTCTGGCAATACATCAAATAACTGGAGAAGATTCTGGAACAAGTGTCCTTCCTTATAAGCACAACAGGCAGGCCAGGGTGGGAACAGTCAGGAAAAATAAGAGCTGTTTAGAAAGCAGCAACAGGTCTCTCAGCAGGACACTGTCTGTTCTAAAAAGAAACCCTCATGATGCAGAAGGTTCTCTTTCATCCCTACTCCTTATTTCTTCCAGAAGAAGTGCAGGGTGGGACCTGCACTCCCTGAATGAAGAGGAGGCAATCTCTGTGCTTCACTTGCCGTCTCCATTTGAAGCTCTGCTGGGGCAGGTACTTCCCAAATCTCTCAGGATGAGGTGCAGTTCCCAGGTCCTCCACCATTACACAGTCCCTTTTGCTGACAGTCACAGAGTCTCATTCTGGCCTTTAACACATCCTACCTTTCCTGTCCTAGTTCCTTACACCAACTACCCTAGGCTTCTTTTGGATCCCCGAACATAGCCACTTACTGCTGCTTGTGTATTTGCCCCTACTGGGCCTGACCACACTCCAATGGGTCCAATCCTCCCTCCTCCTCCATTGTACTCTGATCTCCTTGCACGACACTGGTATTTGGACACTGCTGTTCCCACTTTAGGACCAGCTTAGGTCAGAGCCTGGCACAGACTTTAAAGTTAGCTTACACTCAGGAGTCTTAGAATTGAAATAGCTCCAAGAAATCAGTCAGCCCAACCCACTTGTTCAGATAGGAAAATTGAGGTTCAGAAAGAACACTCAATGGGCTGGCCAGATAGCTTGGTGGACAAAAGCACCTGCTTAAGCAGACACAGGGACCTGGATATGATCCCCCACGTTCCGTGCTGGGTGCTGGCCTCGCCCCTGAGGTGTGCTGAGAGGGAGATTGAAACTGGACGTGGTGGTGCATGCCGTAATCCCAGCACTTGGAAGGCTGAAAACAAGAGGATCACTACCAGTCTGATGTGTGTAGTGAGACCCCGTAGACCCTGTACTAAAATACATTAAAAAAGAAAGAAAGAAAAAACGAACGAACGAACACTTAAGGAAGCTGCACTCACATATAAGTTATAGGCACTAGCTGGTCACTGGCCTGGTGGAGATGAGAGAGGAGTAGAGGGAGGGGGCCCTACAACTTCCTTCTGATCAGACCAACCTGCTTCCTGTCCCTAATACTCTGATACTTTCTTGGCACACCCTCACCTCCGGCAATTTGGGTGTCTGCACTAGAGAGACAGAGTCCCACCTTCCTACTGAAACTTTTCCTAGGAAAATGTAAGCTTGGAAGTGAGTACAGGACAGGTTCCCTCTCATCCATGCCTCTTAGGGCTCTTCACTCCTCTTTCATGCCCTGGCGACTGTCTCTCTCAGAGCCTCCACCACCCTCCCTGCTACCCTGCTGGTTCCCCTGTGAGCCCTCCCGTGCTCTAGTGCTGAGTGGATGGCCAATGGCACACTCACCCCCTGGCTGCCTGTGCACCTGAGCTTCCCAAATGGAGATCGTGTGGTGTTTCTGTTATTAAGTTCCCTGCCAGGGCCACTTCTGCCCCTTCCCGGGCCTGACACAGGAGCTCAGCGTGAGGATGGCCCCAACTAGAATTTGGAATCCAGCCTGGGACACCTAGCAGGACCGATCTGCAAAAGCAGAGGCGAGGATTCCACGCTCTCCCTGCTGCCCC